CAGAAAGGAAATGTACTCCCCACATAGTTATTAAACTGTAAGGATATCATTACATAATATTTTGTGCCAAGAAGCTGGACCATTCTGCTTTGCCAGAAGAATGTGTGACAGGATTATTTCATCTTTTATCTCTACGTTTATGTGCCAAAATTTACTTGATGCAGAGTTTTGCTCTTGTAAAATTTTTATAAAAATTTCTAATAAATTGTTTTTCACTATCCCTTTACTGTTACTTCCGTAAATTATTTGTAAAATTCCTTTAAAATGTGAAAAGTAAAAAGGGCCCGCTGGCTCTATACGGTACTTTTTTGGTATAGTGAGGATAAGAAAAACAAAGGGCTATAGAGTAAGAAATAGTTGAGACAATCTAGACAGAATGATATCTAGTATGCATAATGAACTCCTACAAATCAATAAGAAAAATACATAACCCAACAGAAAAACTGGGAAAAGACTTCAATCAGCATTTCATAAAAGAGGAAATTCAATTTAACAATAATCAAATGGAAACAGAAGTTAACCTCATTTGTCATCAGGGAAATACAAATTAAAGCCATGTTACAATACCACTAGACATCCACCCAAATTGCTAAAATTTAAAAATTTAACAATACCAAGTGTTGAGGAGGATGCAAAAAAACTGCTGGCGAGAATGTAAATGGACATAATCATTTTGGAAAACTGTTTGACAATATCTATCAAAGTAGAACCATACATACCCCCCAATCAAGCAATTCCAATCATTGGTATATTTATAAACAAAATTAAACACACACACACACACACCCTAAAGGGACACATACAGCGCCAAAAGACACAAAGCAGTGTTCTTCATAATAACAAAAAAACTTAAATGACCATCAATAGTAGACTAGATAAACAGATTGGGGTATATTCACACAATAAAATACTGTAGAGAAATGGGAATGAACAAACTGCAGCTACACACACCATGGATGAATCTCACAATAACATAATGTCAAGTGAAAGACGCCAGACTCAAAAGAGTACATGCAGTAGGATTCCATTTATATAAACTTGAAAAACAGGCAAAACTAATCTATGGTATAAAAAGTCAGTATAGTGGTTATCTTTGGGGTGAGGGAAAATGGGAAGGGGCACGAGGAGGACTTCTCAGACCCTAGTAATCTTTATGTCTTGATCTCAGTAGTGATAACATGAGTGTGTTTACTTTGTGTAAATTCACTAAGCTACACACTCAGGATTGTGCACATCTCTGCATGTTACCCTTTAATAAATAAATTTTATGACTGAAAAATAAAAGGTTCTGGGAAACCAACATCCACTGACTTAACAGTTTATTAGAGCAGTGGTAGTCTTCTAGAAGACCTGATGAATCAAATGATACACATACATACACACAATTTCAAAACAGCTGCCCCAGATGCTCCACAGTGTGGTATTTACACATGATGCAGTTCTATCACTTGGCTTTTTGGAAACCTTCCCAATTTTTAGACAGCAGCCTAAATTTGGATTTTGCAAAAACTCAAAGTAATTTACATTATTTTAATAGTGCATTATTGGTAAGTCAGTTATCTGTGTTCTCCATTCTTGTTTTTCTACCCAGCTTTGTTTAAAAAAACAAAACAAAACAGAGTGGCTTACTGCATCAGTTACGTGTTTACAGCAAACTCTGAATTCAACTAGTAAGAAAAATTCGCAAGTTTCCTTGACAGTGTGGATTATTCCTACCTCAAGTCTCTTTCACTCACCAGCTTCTCACTGATTTTTTTTTTTTAACCTAGTTACACAGGAGGAAAAAGAACCACGCCTGGGCAATAGTCACAAACTATACTCAATATGAGCTAAGTGAGCAAAAGAAGTAGAAGGGTAACAGAAATGGAAATGACATAAGCTAAATTGGGGAAAGGCTTTAAAAACAGGGTAGAGAATATGAGCAGGATCGAATTCAAAAACAAAAAAAAGCCATCCTTATGAAAGTTACAGGTGAAAAAGCTAGAGAGGAACATCTTATATCTCAAAGCAATGTAATCAACATTTATTAAGATTTCAGCAGACTAGAACGTTGGCCCAAACCTAATTTAGATGAAATGTAAAATAAAGTCTTAGAAAAAGAGAAAAACAAAACAAAAAAAAACACCTACACAAGTTCGGGATGAGAGAGACTTGGCTTAATAACAGCTAATGTGAAAAAGACCAGGGAAGTCAAATTGATTTTAAGCTCAACATGAGTCAACACTGTGACGGAGCCGACCAAAAAAAGCAATTTGTTCAGCTATACATGTTATTATTTATTATTTATAACAAAGTTGGTAACAGGTTCTATGGTTCCTTGCATCTGAAGGAGACTGACAAATCCTAGGCCCTTCACAAGACAAGGAGCAATGTAGCAGGAGGAGGCTAGAACCAATGTTAGTGTGAAAAGAAAAGAAGAATCTGAGTTTCTGTGACGGCAGAGAAGAGCAGGTATGGCAGGATGGGGGAGACAAGAGGGCACTGTTTAAAGAACTGTAGGGACACGCTATAGAAGGGGGATAGGATAATTCATTATGTGTTACACCACAGAGGCAGATCTAGAATCGACAGGCAGAAGTGAAAGCAGCACATTTAGATTCAACACAAATAAACTTTCCAGAAAACTGTCAACACCTTACGTGGTGGTATTCCTTATCACAGTGCCAATGTTAAGCAGAGGCCATCAACCACTTGTCACAGGAAGTAAAATGAACTCAAAAGTGGATCAGGGGCACCTGGGTGGTGCAGTCCGTTGAGTGTCTGACTCTTGGTTTTGGCTCAGGTCATGATCTCAGGGTTGTGAGGTCAAGCCCCACGTTGGGCTCCACGCTCAGCGCAGAATCTGCTTGGGACTCTCCCTCCCTCCCCCTCTACACCTCCCACCCCCCACCGCTCGCACATGCTTGTTCTCTCTCTCTCAAAATAAATAAATCTTAAAAAAAAAAAAAGTGGACCAGATGGCCTTGGATTTAATTCCATCTCAATCATTTACTAGCAATGTCATCTGGGGGAATTTATTTAGAACCTCTCCAAATCTCAGCTTCCCTTATATGTTTACTTCATGAGATTATGGAGAAATAATAAGGTAATATGTGCAAGACCCAGGGTGACACACTAAAATGCAACACAAACATGAGCTGCTATAGAGGGGATATTGCACTAGATAATTGCTAAGATCCTCCTAGCAGTGAAATTATTAACTGTACCTTAAGGTAAGAAAAAACTTAAAATAGGTCCTAAATTTACAAGATTGGGTAGGCAAAGACAGTAAACATTAATATGATAGAAAAAAAGGGAGCAGAAGATCTATGTTTCACAAGGTGTTAAGAATGTACTTTTCTGATAGCAAATTAGTCACCAGATCTAAAAGGCAATGCTTAATCCAAGAGATAAGTAGGAATTCTAATAAAAAAGTTACACATGCCAAATAAATCAAGACTACAAAATGCACTTGTAATCACTGACAGTATGAATATCACTGAATCATGGCATTAAACACAGTGTTTAACTAGTGCTTTTGCTCTGGGAACCCCCCGGATTCTGCTCCCACCAGGTGTGGACTCAGGCTCTACTCTTCCAGTTACATGATGCTGAGCAAGTTACTCAAACCTCTCACCCCCGGTCTGTAAAGGGTAAATGTAGGGTATCAACCTGCCTCGTTCACATGCCACCTCCTTCACAGGTGCTGAGAAGACTCTATGAGATAACACATGTAAATCCTCTGGCAAGGCTTCTGGCACCCAGAGGAACTCATGTTAATTATATGTTGCCACAGAGGCAGATCTAGAATCAACGGGTAGAAATTACAGCAACACATTTAGGTTCAATGCAAGAAATAAACTTTCTAGAGAACTGTCAACACCTTATAAGATGGTGGAGTTTTGTGCCATGTTTTTTTAAGAGTTATAAATTTGGGGAACAAATAAAAGATATATTTTGTTTCCAAAAGTCAAAATTAAGGTTAAATTAAAAATGATAATATAGATACACTGACATTGAGACGGAAAACTAACCAATGTACTGACGGGTAGAAAAAGCAAGTTTACAAGACAATATGCTCAGTATGAGCTCATTTTTTTATGACATGTATTTTTTAAATTACTATCTCTAGATTGTGGAATTAGGTGACTTTCACTTTTTAAATATTTTCTATACTATCTAAATTTAGTATAAGGAGTATGTATTTCTATCACAAGTTCCAATCGGAAAAAAACATGATTGATAAGGTTTCTCTATAGGAAAATTAACATTTAGGTCAACGTTGGGGGGGGAAATACACTTTTACAAACTTGGAAAAGTGAATTTAACACTTTTTAAAAAGCAAAAAAAACCAAAAACCTTAGACTACTAGTAAATTTTTCTGTGTGCTTTTCTAAAAAAATGTGGTTCAGACAAAAGGAAAACATCTCCCAAACTGAGGGAGATACACAGGGAATAAGCTCCATGGGGGCGGGGATTTTGTCTGCTCTGTTATATTTACTGCTATAAGCACAGAGCAGGAATAAATATTTGCTGACCAAATGGATAAAAGTCCTATTTACCCTTATACTAAATTTTGTTGCCTATTTCACTAGAATATTGGCTTATTCATCTTTATCTCCAACATCCTGCGTATTATCTAACAAAGAGAAGTTACCAATTCAGTTATCTGTCTAAGAAAAAAACCAAAAAAGATAAATAAATATTACTTTTGAAGCTAAAAAGTCAATAAGAAATTGATAAGCATTACTCTAAAACAAGACATTCATCCTGGACTATAATCTCTACATGTAGGATAAAAGCAGTGACATCAAAGAAATGGGGGCATGTTACTATTTCTAGATTTTATTATGTTATGTCTAATAAGTGAACAATACTAACATTATTAACTGTAAACCAGGATTGTATAGAAAAGTACAAAGAGAATATAAAAATCAGCTTTTTATACCATCAAGGCCTACTCAGCATAAATCAACAAAAAAGCCAAACCAAACCAACCAACCAACCAAAGGCAGACCTACCTTGGGCCTCTTGGGCCTTCCAAGTAACTGCTTCTAGGAGGATCTGGAAGCAGTCCACCTGACCTCACTGGCATGTCCTTGACTCCAGTGATTGGCTGAGATGGAGCAGCTGAAGACTCCCCAAGTCCTTGCTCAGATGAGAATGAACTATATGGCAGAGTAGACTTGCTCAGAGGGGTTTTAGAATTCACTTGTTCGGATGGGCTAACAGCTGATTGCAATGGAGGATGGTAGGTTGAGGGTGGGCCTGAACCAAAAGACACAGGAGTGGGAAGCAGTGCTGGTCTAGGTTTCTCTGGAACCTGTGAACTCTGAGAACTAGAGGCTGGTGGGATTGGGGCTGTTGCTAACTGAGGAGGTATCCCTTGAGGGACCCCCGGGGGAGGTAATCCTGGAGGAGGTGTGGCTAAAGACAATGGTGGGAGGGGCAGGACAGGCGGAGGTGCCGTTGAGGAGAGAGCCGGTGGGGGAAGAACGGGCGGTGGCCCCGCAGAAGAGAGGGAAGGCGGGGGAAGAACGGGCGGTGGCCCTGTAGAGGACAGAGATGGAGGCATCACAGGTGGGGGCACAGAGGTTGGCAGAGAAGGTGGCATCACAGGTGGGGGCATGCCAGGCGGTGGCACTGAAGCAGGCAGGGCAGGGGGCATCACTGGTGGGGGCAACGATGGAGGCAGTACCGGAGGGGGCATTGTTGGTAGAGGTGGAGGCATCTGAGAATACGGAACGAAAGGAGGTGGCATTGACATGTTCCCCATATACTGGTTCTTCATGTTCTGAAATGAATTGACTTTCTCCTGGAGATAGGTCTGAGTCGCTTTCATATGTCCCTGCCATGTTTTCCACTGCTTCTCATACTCCTGAAGCTGATCTTTATGAGGATAAGAATGGAGCTGCTCCTCCCACAGCTGAAACTCCCGCTCCCATTCTTGGTAGAGATGTTGAAACTGTTGCTGCTGCATCTCATAATGCCGCAGCTGCACGTCTACAGACATGGTCTACGAACAAAGGGGTGACAATTATTTCAAGACATTCATGTAAGAGAATTAATCATAAGTTAAAATATTAATGAATCAAGGGCATTTGTAGGCTTAGGAAATTAAAACGCTAAAGACTTTGGGAGGCTAGTAAGGATAAACTTGTTCCATCTCCTTAACGATGATCATTCTTTCTTCCTTTGACTCAGTTCTGTAAGTTACCACAGAGTTGGAGAAATCAACTAAACACTAAAGCAAATACCTATCTCAGCAATAATTGTTTTTCAAGTTTTTCATATCACCATGGATCACTTTAAGAATTTGAAAAATGATCTATTACTACAGACATACAGACACAAGTTTGTGTCTTCAAGATACAAGAAGAACAAGTATCTTTTGTGGTGTATTTCCTTAGGTTTCTGTGGTGGTTGCTGTGATCTTTCTGGTGGATTTTTGCTTGTCTGTCACTGAAGTGATTTGTAGGCAACTTGAAACTACATGGTAAGAATCTCTGGTTCTTAAAACCCTTAGCAACAGTCCTCTAACGCCTGCCTGGGTTGACATGACCAGAAAATTCCACTATACCTGCCCCATCCCAAGAGCATTTTCATAAAGCTGTACTTCCCAAAGCCCGGTGATTTGGACCCCCCTCGGAAACAGCTAATTTAATTTCGCTCCCTCCTCACATTTCAATCTCTTTCAGGAATAACAACTCCTTGGGGTGACTTGGGGCAACGTCCCCTGTGTGAGCTGAGGAAGCACTTGCCTGCATATGTGGCGGCTGCTGTATAATCTGCTGGTACTGCTGGAGGATCTGCTGCAGCTGAGTGTGTTTCTGCATTATGCCCTGATACTGGAAGCCAACTCGGTGCTGCTGGTGCTGCTGCCAGTGTGCTGCCGCCGCCTGCAACTGTTTTAACCTAGCATCTTCCTCCGGGTCTTCGGACTGAAGATGAGAGAGGGAATACACTTGTACGTAAGGAATAGAACAGCAACCAACTTAACAAAAAGCCTGAACATTTTATTAAGTATTGCATTACAAAGTCCGGCATGTCGACAACTCTGGCTGACTGAGAAAAGTTATTTTATGTTTAGATAAAAGACCTGGCTCTACTTACACTCTGGATCATGAATACTAATAGAAAGGAGTTATAAATTCCATAGTCTTCATTGGAATAATCACCTCACTGCTCCTAAACAGGGCAACCATTTCCCCAAAAAAGTCCATTTACAGCTACACCCTTTGCACTCTATGAGAAATCTTTTTCTTTTTCACATTAGCCACTTTTAACCAATAGACTACAATGTCATCATTATGGCTCAACAGTTTCCCCATAGGCTCTTGGGAGAACAGATACCTTTGGGCCGAAGTGAGAACTTTCCGTGTGTACTCAGTTAGTATGTTAAGTGACAAGGATGATCACACTGAATGCTTCAATAGCTCTCTAAGACAGCCACTATTTGAATATACCCATTTTGCAGATGAGGAAATTGCAGCACGGAATGGTTAACTCACTTGTGCAGAGTCCCTAACACCAGCAAGTGGCGGTGCCTCGACTACCGCTTGGGCAGTTTGACAACAGAAGCTGAAGCTCTTTACTACTGCCCTGTGCTGCCAATATGAAAACACCCTGGAATCCCTTTAGTGCTTAGAGAGCCTCAATTCCGAAGAGTGTCTAATTCTCCACTCACTTCAACCATCAGAAAAATGCCTTTTCTCAACTCCATCAGGCATTCATCGGATTTTCCCGTATCAGAATTTTACATGTACTTATAAAAAAAACCCCACATAAAAACATATATCCATTTTGACAAAGGTATTTAGAAAAGAATCAGAACAAAAGCTAAACAATTTCCTAAACGCCAAGCAATTAATTTTATGGTTACCTGGGGTTCCTCAGGTGGGAGAGGAGGTGGTACCTCCTCATTAGGTGGTGGTAACGGGGGCTCCTCAGATGAAGAGGGTTCTGGTACTTGACTGGTGGCAGGTACTGTAACTTCTTCTTTTACCGGCTCGGGTGCATCCTTTGCTATGACAGGACCTTTTTTGTGTCCTGGCAAATGCACTTTTGTCCTCTGCTGCAAACTAAGCAGGTGCTGCCGATACCAATACTGCTGCTGTTCCTACAAGAGAAGGCATTTTTAAGAATTTTAATTGAAAATCTATATATCTGCAACTTGGTACTGACAGAGACCTGCATTTGTATTTGTGTTCACATGTCTATATGTAAGAAAAGGTAAAGCTGGACTGTGAAAGGTAAATAAGTAAACAAGATCTTTCAATTCCTCCCCCAAATTTATACACTTAAGTTAAACCATACATATTAATTCAACATGCTTCTCTACTCTTTCAACACACACACTTTTGGAAGTGCGAGCAGTCTTTTTGATAAATGCTCAGAGGAAATCCTTTCAGTATTCACAGCTGCTTGTTTTTAACCTGCCGTAGGCTGCTGTGGATTTATGCAAGGGGTCTTGTAATTAATGAATATAGCCAAATAGTTCTGTCTCTTCTCTGCCTTCTCTCTCCTCCAGTGCTCTTCCCTCTTTTAAACACCTCTTGCATGACAGCTATATACACATAAATGAGAATATACTGCGTTTTAGAATACTATTTATTTTAAAAGTCTCAGCTTTGTCTTCCAAATTATACTGTAATTTAACTTTCTGGAAGCTTGTTGTGTGCTTCCACTTTGAAAAAGTTACAGCAATAACAAGTCTAATGCAGAAGTAATTAGAAAATACAGCTGATCCTCATTATTCATGGATTCTATATTGGCAAATATGCCTACTTGCTAACGTGTATTTCTAACTCCAAAATCAATACTCAGGAAACTTTGGCTGTCATTTGTGGCCATGTGTAATAGGGCACTGAAAAATCTGAGTTGCCTGACTTGCACATTTCCTGCTGTGGCAGAACAAGGCTATGCTCTGCCTTTTTGTTTAGCTCTCATACTGCAAATAAGTGTCGTTTTCATGGTCTATTTAGGACCACATTTTTCAGATTTCTGTGCTTTTTCTTGGTGACTTTGCTGTTTAAAATGGCTGCAAGCATAGTGTGGTGTGCTGTCTAGTGTTCCTAAGTGCAAGAAAGTTGTGATATGTTTCACACAGAAAATCTGTGTGTTAGATACTAATTTCATTCAGACATGCGTTATGCTGTTGGCTGTGAGTTCAACGTTAATGAATCAACAAAATATATTAAATAAGGTGTCATTAAACAGGAACACATATAAAACTAGGTTATGTATTAACTGGTTGATGAAAATGAGACCAAACCAAAGGCTCACATTTCCCCTGGGAGCAATGGTTTAGTATTCACTAATTCAATGTTCTTGGCAACTTTATGGAACACAAATACCTCAAATAAGAAAACAGACTATACAAATAAGCAATAACTAATTAATTAAAATCAATAAAAAATCTTACCACTCAGACATAACTACAGGATCTTCATTTCCCAGTATTCATTACATAACTCCCTATGGTTACAAGGTTGCATAAGGAAAAAAGTTCTCGTAACACTAAAATATTCACTCATGTACTACCCTTTATACTTCCATAATTAACAACAGCATGTATTTCTACTACAATTATAAGGATGCAGGATTTTATGAAAGTGATATTGGAGAACTTTGGAACCCATTACTGATAGCTGAGGATCTAGCAGAAGTCCTGCCAGTTAACAACCAAAACATTTTTTATAACAGGAACTGCAAAAGAGGATGATATGAATATCAAAGGTTGATAATAGCCCCTAGGAAAACTGATAAATCTCTACTTTTTTTCAATATATCCAAAACCAAAATAAAAGATGATATACAATATTGCCATGTAATTTTGTTGGTATTATGACAAAAATTATAGTACAGAAACCAAATCAACACTATTCTTTGTTCATTCTAAGACTCAGCTATCCCTTACGATTTTGAGCTTTGTTTTTTAAGATTGTGTCCCAAATCAAATTTTTTACTTTTTACAAAAAACTTTACCTTGGTACCTGTGTTAAATGGATTCGTTTTGCTTAGATTCACCGGGATTCACTATCTTTGGGTAACCAGGATTTCCTATATTGTTAATATTTTATTACACATCCTCTCCAGTTTCCCACATGCAAATAAAATGCATAAAATATATAAATATATACTCTTTTCTCACTAAACATAATATTTTATTATGTTTTTTCACTCACAGAATCTAATTTTCTTGGAAGAGAGCTGTCTCAAGCTTTTCTTATATCCCACCTGGTGCTTAAGCATAGTGCTGGAGCACAGGAGAATGTCAATAAATGGTTATTGATCAAGTGAAGACTTCCCTTCCAGGCCACTCATTTCTATGACCTGAAACTTGCTCCAAACTATTGGGAGGAATAAATTCCATCTCACTACCTACATCTTGAAGTCTGGGTCATGATTGGGCTATTCTGTTTTTAATTACCATGTACATAACCATCAGCTCCAGAGATATAATTACTTTTCCTATTGAACATAAAAAAAACCCCAGCACACTGACCACGATAGTTGACAATAACGTACTATTAAAACATTTTCAATTTTCTTCCACTATTTTATGAAAATAGCAACAGGCTTATCTTTCAGCTTAAAAAAACTAATAAACTCAGTCTCTTTCAAGTACAAGTTAAAAGTTTCCCTTGTTTTTAGTTGCTTTGAAAGCATCACTAAAAGATACAAAGCATCTTTCATAATAAACTAGAAGCCATGGCTACAGACATGGAAGACTGTACAGATCTAGATTCTTGATCAATTTGTACGTACCCATCTTATTGTCAATGCTTCCCATCTTCGTCTTAGACCCAGTCTAAGGTTAAGAACCTTATTAGGAGCTCGAGTACTTGTTGATTTGCTGACAGTATGCACTGTAGGTCAATTTCTATTTTATGTATGAACCCAATAAGCAGAAACCAGATCTAATTCAGTCCTAGGACTAGGCTTCGGCACATTTTTAAAGCTCTACAAATGAGCATCATTCAGACATGTCCTCAGTGACCCAAAGAGAAAAATGACTTATCTCTATTTTCCAAAGGAATAAAACCTGCTTGGACTTCTAATGAAGCCAAAGCCAAACCAGTAGCCAGTTTTTCTGATTGTCCCATCATATCAGACAACTCCATCTCACATGGGATGTTAGTTCTCAGGTAGAGGAAAGTCATTGCATATGTCACATTCAAAAAGATTGAACAAAGAGAGTTAAAAAGGATGTAAGAACTATTTGTCACAAATATCATTATCGAAAAGATGCTAACTTATTCAGCAAGCATTTACTGACCACTTGCTACCAGTACAGTAATAAACTAGGTACTAAATGATTTTCCAAGCAGGGAAATACAAAGCAGAGAATGTGTGAGGTGGGGTGGGGAGGGAGAGAGATGGAGAGGGAGAGAGAAAGAGAGAGAGAGAGATGTTTTAGAGATTAATTTTGGAAGGTTGCCTTTCCTATCCAGGTTATTATAAATGCATATAACACTAAATGTACTATGTCCTACATCCTAAAGCAAGGGGTAGGGAGAAATCTGGCAAAAGAATGGTTTTCCATTTTTAGACTTATTTAAAACATATTTATTTTCAATATTTTTGAGGTTCACATTCCACTCCAGGAAATTAAGGTCACCAGATAATCTTAGTTCCACCTAAAAAAAATTAAAATAAAAAAATAAAGCTCCTTTACTTCACCTCTTCCTCCAGCTCCTGCCCTCATTCTCTCTCTCTCTCTCCTTCAGTCAAACTTCTTGAAAGAGTGTCTATACTCACCATCCCCATTTCCTCACCTTCCATCACTCCTCAAATCAATGCAATATGGCTTCAGTCACTATGAAACTGCTCCTGCCAAGGTCAACAATAATCTACATGTCAGTAAATGCAAAAGATAACTCACAGTCTTTATCTTGCTTGACCTCTCACTGGTAGTGACACAGCTGACCACTCCCTCCTAGAAACAGTCTTCTTTGCACTTCTGTGGGACTGCACTGTCCTGACTTTCCATCTACCCATTTGATCTTTCTTCTCTTGGTTCCCCCTAGATACTGAGATTCTGCAGGGCTAGGCTCAATGTCCTTTAAACTCTATCCTTACTCTACACACACTCCTCAGGAGACCTCATCTATTTCTGTGCCCCAAATACCATTTTTATGCTGATGACTCACAAGTCTGTCATGTCTCCGAGATCTCACTTCTAGACTCCAGACCTATATCTAACTTCCATTTGAACATCTCTATTTGGAATCATGTGGCTCAAGGATCTCAAACTCAGTAGGTCTAAAACTAAACTCATCCTTTCACATTGTTCCCAAACCTGTTCTTCCTCCTCTTCCAAGTTTTCCTTTTTTATTAGTAAATGGGACCACCCCCTACCTGGCAAGTCTACTCCAGAAACTCAGGAATCATCCTTGACACCTCCCTCTCCACTACTACTCAATCTCCAATTAGATTCTAGTGCACAAATATTTCTCCAGTCTTTCCACTTCTCTCCATCTCCACTATCACCATCCATCCAAGTCCAAGCCACTATTACTACTATCTCTTGCCTGGATTATTCTATTAAGTATTCTCTCTAAATCACCCTTGCTCTTCTCAATTCCACTCTCCAGACAGCAAACACAATGAGTTTTCAAAAATGCCAATTTGTCACATTCGACTATATAAAATCATTTGATGGCTTCCTCCTGCCCGAAAGTCCTCATTGGCCCTCCCTGATCTGGTTTGTGTCTACCATTCTCACCTTGAGCTTTCAGTAAGCCTTACTTTGAATGCTATCTGGTTAATTCCTACTCATTCTTCAGGTTTCACTTAATATCACTTACAAAGGGAGGCCTCTTCAATTAGGTTACAGCTCTCAGCTACATCCAATCACTTAAAAAATATTTGTTCTTCACCTACTACATGCTAGACCCCTGAGCAAGGCACTGTAAATACAATGGTGAGTTTAAAACCAGAAAACAAACAAACAAAAAAATCCCTCACCTTTTCCCATTCCTCATGGAACAATCTAGTCATATTGTGTATTTTATAATCCCACAGCACCCTATACTCCTCTTACTTATTAAATGTCTTTTTCTTCCCATTGAGACAAGTCAATGAGGGCAAGTGCCATGTCTTATTTTCTTCACCATTTCATCTCTGGTACTAAACTAAGCACGGCACTTGGCACATAGTTGCTACTCAGTAACTACTTGAATATTAAATGACTAAAAATTCTAATCCAAGGTAACAGCTTTACCTTGGATTTGAGAATAAAAGGATAAATAAAGTCACAATTTATGAAAAAAAGGCTAGTATATACTTTACCTAGCCAGTCCTTTAAACACACAGAAAAGTTAATTCTTCAAAAAGACACATTCCATTATATTACCAATGCTTTATTCTGAAAACTAGCAATTAAATGGAAGAATATTAAGCACTTATCCTATCTTTCCTATACCAATTGTATTTCCAATTAAATAGTCCTAGTTCATGAAAGTTTTTCTTTACAGAATTCCAAATAGTAAATGTAAAAGAAATGGCAGGAAAAAATCACCATGTAATAACCTTCAATGAAGAACTAATTTACTTAGGCAAAGACTATCAGTGGATGAATCACCAGATGAGGCAAAATTGATGGAAAGCTTTACAATGGAGGGACCAGACGGTAAACCCCTGATCAATCTTGGCTCCACTAATAGTGGGACAACCAGGCATTGTATGTCTCCTGATGGGATGCAAATGAAATACATAGCACCACCCTGGTTATGAAGTACACTTGCCAAAAGAGAGGTGAACTTAAATCTAAGCTTTCAGAGTTTACCAGAAATGTGAAAGAGAGTAGAACAGGTCAAATGATAAGAAACCAAGAGAAAGCAGACAAATCCAGAATGTGGGACATTCTACAGAACAACGGAAATAGATTTCTCAAGTTCAATGGCATGGGGTAGAAAAAGAGAATAGGAGAGACTAATCTGTATGAGGAGTTCTCAACTGAGGGTGATTTTAACCCCCAAGGGATATTTGGCAATGTCTGGAAACATTTTTGTTTCCCACTGGAGACTGCTACCAAAATCTAGTAGTTACTGGTCAGAGATGCTGCTAAACATCCTACAATGCACAGGACTGTCTTCCACAACAAAGAATGATCCTGCTTCACAATGTCTATATTGGATCCTGATCTGAATAAACCATTAAAACATGACAGAGTCCACTGGGGAATTTTAATATGGATGCTATCAAGGAATTATTTTTAATTCCAATTAGTATGATGAGACAATAGGGGAATTCTGAATGGGTCAGGTATTAGATGATACAAAGAAACTGTTGTTACTTTTTGTAGATGTTATAATGTATTTACCTAAGAAAAGGTCCATTTTTTTAAAAAGATGACTAAAATTGTAGAGATGAAATGACATGAGATCTAAGATTTGCTTTAAAATATTTCAGAAGCAATAAAAAAAAGGCATAGGTGAAGTAAACATAAAATTTTGACAGTTGTTGAATCTGAATGATGGGTTTAAAGTAGAAGCCATACCATTTTCTCTACTTTTGTGTGTGTTTATAATCTTTTGCCATAAAAATTTGTAATGACATATTCCAAAAATAAAATATGAACCAAAGAATAATAAATTTGCAGAAGGGTTCATTGTCAGAGATTGGCACTGGTATGAAGAAAACCTGTGTGATCTAATAAGCCAAAGTATCCTAAGTCTAGAACATGACCACTCTTGTAGCTTATTCAACAAATCTCTGTGGAGAGCCTACAATTTGCAAGGCACTGTCCTAGGTGCTACAGAGGATAAAAAGATGAATGAGATGGTCCCTGTCTGCAAGGGACTTAAAATCTGAAAAACAGAACCAACCAGATAGGTGAGCTCAGGGATGGCTTCACAGAGACCCTGATATTTGAGATGTACCTTGAAAACAATACAACTATAAGGCAGGGAGAGAGGGTTGAGAGAGTTGGGATTAATTCTAGACAGAGGTAAGAAAGCCTAAACAAGCTTACAAGGCCCTTTTGGTCTGGCCCCCACACTTCTCAAGCCTCACCTTCCACTCTTTTTTTCTGGCTCTCACCAAAGAATTGGAGGCAATGAATACTCAAAGTACTGAAAGAAGTTCAATACAGACAAGGGTGCAAAGGCAGAAAAGCAAAACCAGCAAACCAGTGTTCATGTATTTGTATTAAAGACGGGTCTGATTCCTCCTCCCCTCCCTCCAAAAACAATTCATTTGTCTCTCAAAAGGCCAGAAAAAGTCTAGTAGAGAGGAGGATATGGATGTTATACTTTGGCTTGGACTAACTCCGAGAGGGACAACAAAAGCACTGGGAATTTCAGAATGGGTTGGGAATGGGGACAGAAATTTCATCTCTATAATAGAGGCATCTGGGGGAAATAACCTGGTGGTGTAAGCCAACAGAATCCCTTATTCTCCTATTGTACCCCAGCATCACAAGTGTTTTCTCCTGATGATGTGCCAAGCACAACATCTTACTTAAAACAACTTGCTTGTGTTCTTAATTTCTAATGACAAACCATTAGAGTACCACATCCCTATCTTTTGGAAATCTTTTATATGTAAATCTGAGCTTGTAGACTAAAACTCTCTTTTCATTAGGGAATCTAAGGTAGATTAGTAATTGCTAAAAGTGTCTATTTTAAGAAATCATAACAAGTTATTTATTCCACTTTAGTTCTATCTTTTTTCTTAAGGGAGGAATTCATTTGTTACTGCTATCCTATCCATCTTTGCTCTGTAGGAAGCATCACTTAAAACAGAAGTTTAGAGGAATGGCTCTCTCATGAAGGAAGACATACCACTAACTTTTTTTCACCTTGGCCAAATTCCAAGGCAGTTACTCTGGAGTGAATGGTAACAATGCAATGCAGCAAACTGGTTATGTCTTAAAACTTTCTTTAAGTGATGTGAGAAAAGGACGTATGGATCCACTCCTTAAAATAACCAAGAGACTCCCAAAAGGGTCAAAGGTGAAAAGACTTCCTATGTACCTCATATGTATCTATATGCATAATTAGGATGCTCCTGATAAGAACAAGATTTCCATTCCTCATTTGCTAACACTTAGGGAATTCACGAAGCTGACAGCTATCAGTGGCCCCTAAATAACTTTTTAAAGAAGCTAACTGGTCATAAGGTTTGTATATATTTCAAGTATCAGCCGTTTGTGAAACTTTTTTATGCTGCCTCTCAAATGGAAATTTGAGTTTAAAATACAATTTTAAAAAAACAAAGCGCTTTGCAAAAGCAACAAAATCTAGGAGGTCGGTCAAAGGGAACCAAAGAATATATCTGATTAGTAACTCTCCAGCCACCCCACTACTCTGTGGCGTTCAGAAACATCTTCAAACACTGTTCTTTTAATAATCCACATTTAGCTACTTGAAAAGCTGCGATGTCAGACTTCTGACTCTTAAGGAATCCTTTGGAGTGTAAATTAGCTACTCATTGTGTTGGAATTAGCCGAAGCACGGGTTAAAGCCCTGAGGCCTGCTCACTTAGGGCCCTCTAGGTGAAAGATGCGGCTCAGGCTGATGCGTTCTTACCTGTGGAGTCATTGTTGAGGGATCTGGCTCTGGGGCAGCTTGCTGTTCAGCACTCTTGTTCTTGGCCCCACTCTCCAAAGGCTCTTGCTGGACAGTTGTCTTATTCCCAGAAGGGGCGGACGGTGGTGGTGGAGCTAGTAGTTGGGATTTAGAATGGCCCTGGGAGGGGCGGGAAGGAGATGCCTGAGAAGGGGGCAAGTAGGACTGGGAATGGCTCAAATAGGATTGCGAGGAGGAGGAAGAGGAAGAATAAGAAGGGGTGGGCGCCAGATAGGATTGGGAAGGTGGGGACTGAGAAGGGGACGGCTGAGCGGGAGGCAGGTACGGCTGAGACGAGGCCGGGGGGTAGTACGAGGGTGGCGGCTGAGGTGGGGGCATGTAAGACTGAGACGGGGGCATATAGGACCCCGGCGGTACAGGGGGAGATTCAGGGGGGGAATCCAGCTCCATGGGAACCAAACCAGGAGACCCATCTCGTTGGTGGTGGAGCATCTGGTGTTTGTACTGCTGCTGCTTCTGATAGCTGAGGGCCGGCCCAGGTGGCGGGGGCATCGGTGGCGGCGGTGGCTGCCAGTCCCCATAGCCGCCCCCCGGCATCACCGGCGGGGGCGGCAGGGGCGGTGGAGGAAGGTGATGGGGCTGGAGCACGCACTGCATTTGCTTCTGGTGCATCTGCTGCAGCTGCTGGAGCTGCGCCAGGTGCTGCTCGCGGAAGCTCATGAAGCCCGAGGAGGAGGGGGCCGCGGGAGTCGTCGAGCTCGAGTACCCGGGCCCCGGCGAGGCCTCAGGAAGCGCCACCGGCGGTGGCGGCGGCGGGACCGGCGGCGGCGGATAGTGGCTGCTCCCGCCATACCGGCCCCAGTTCGGGTACATATCGTTGAAGGCGGCGCAGGGCTCGTCCCGGCGCCGTTACTCGTCGCAACCGACCTCCAGGAGCTGCGGCGGCGACGGCGACAGCCGGAACTCGCGGCGCCTACAGGCCCCGGAGCGTGTAAACGGAGCGCGCCACTGCGCCGGCGCTACCGACCTGGGCCCGCGACCGGGAAGGCGGGGACGGCACTGGAGCGACTACGCCTGCGCAGTAGCCACCGAGAGGAGAACAAAGGCGAGATAGAGCGACCCTTTGCTTGGTGACTCTCGGTTGCCATCTTCCTTCAGGTTTGGATAATGGACGTGCGAGTAGAATGTTCTCATAGAACCGAGGAACCATAGAGTCTCACAGCTGAAAGGGGTGGTAGAGATCCTATCGCTCCACGGGTTCGTTTTTGAATGAAAAAAAAAAAAAAAAAAGGTTCCATTCACAATAGCAACAATCTCAACAACAACAAAAAAGCCATGAAACAAGTAGGAATAACTCTAATAAGAAATATGTATAATTCATATGAAGGAAACTACAGAACCATACAGAATCATATCTGAGGGGAATAAATTAGACTTGAAATAATGGAGAGGCTTACCATGATCCTGAATGAAAAGGGAAAAATTGTAGAGATGTCAGTTCTTCTCAAATTAAATGAATAGATTTAATTCAATTCTAACAAAAATCCAACTGGGAACAAATCTGTGAAGAATAGAAACATGCTGAAGACAGAATGTAAGACTACACCAATTCCTGCAGGTATATGAAAGGTAACATCTGCAGTTATTGTAAAAGGTGAGAGATGGAATTCTTTAGAATAACTAAATGCATAAAAATTCATGTTGGAGAATCTCAGCCAAAGCAAAGATAGCAAAAACCAGATTAAAAGATTGTTTGGAGAGGGTGACCTAGAAAGTAATCCAATCTGTCAACATAATACTCAACTTTGGCTTGAGTGAATCACTGAAAAACAAGGCTGATACACACTGAATTCTGGAAAGGAAAAAAAAAAACTAACTCTGAGAATATTAAGTGTGTCAGTGTGTCAGTTGTGCACTACTTAAAGATCTGACCTTCCTTCCGTCTTAGCAACCCAGATCTTCACCTCTCTTAGGAGGTAGATGTGAGTGGAAAGTGGGGCATCTAAGTATCTTTCAGAAGAGTTTTCATTCTCAAATAGGAATTTAGCTGCATTTCTCTTAGTTTTTTATTGAAGTATAACATATATACATAAAATTAAGCATCATAAATGTACAGGTTAGTGAATTTTCACAAACCAATCACCCTGTGTAACTAGCACCCTGGTCAAGAAACAGAACATTAGGGCCGGGTCAGATGCCTGCCTGCCCTTGTGCCCCTTCTTTTCCCTAAAAGAGAAAAGGAAAAGAAACAGGACATTGTCCAACTCATAAATCCCACTTACTTGCAATTTTAATATTTTCTATTGAAATTCTTTTGAAAATATTAAAAATACATGTAATTTACTATAGTAATAGCCTAAAGGAGACTATGAGATGATCATCTCATTAGATGAAGAAAAAGAATATGATAAATTTCAACGACCATTCATGATTTTTTAAAAATCTTAGCAAACCAGAAATAAAAGGGAACATCCTAATCTTGCAGAGTATTTATTTTTAAAAAATACAGCAAACATCACACTTAATTGTGAAAAGTTGAAAGTTTTCCCACTGGGATCAACAACAGATGTTCACTACCATCACATCTGTTATGGATTGAATTATGCCTCACCTCCTTCCCCCAAATGTTTAAGTCCTAATCCCCAATACCTCAGAATGTGACTTTCTCTAGAAATAAGGTTGTTGCAGATCTAATTAGTTAAGATAAGATCATATTGTAATAGGGTCAATCTAATATGATTAGTGTCCTTATAAAAAGATGGCCATGTGAAGACACAGACACACAGAGAGAATGCCCATGTGATGCTGAAAGCCGAGGTTGGAGTTATGCAGCTGCAAGCTAAAGAGTGGAACAAATGGAATTCTCATACACTGATGGTGAAAGTGTAAATTAGGACGACCATTCTGAAATACTATTTGGCAGTATCTACTAAAGCTGAACAGACCCATAGCCTATGACCCAGGAATCCCACTTCTAGGCATATAATGAAGAGAAGTGCATGCATATGTTATACAGAAGATACGTACAAGAATGTTCATAGCAGCACTACTTGTAATGGCTGAAAACTGGAAAGCAACCCAAATGTCCACCTACACTAGAATGTATAATGAAATTGTGGTACATTTATACAAGGGAATACAGAACAATGAAAATGAACAAACTATAACCACATGCAACAACTCAGGTGAATCTCACAAACATAATGTTGAACAAAAGAAGCTAGGCAAAAAAGAATATGTACTGTATGTTTTCACATATATAAGTTGAAAAATAGACATAATTGATATGCAACGTTAGAATTCAGGATAGTAGTTACCCTTGGGGTGAAGAGGTAGTGATTGAAAGGGGGCATAAAAGGCAGCTGCTGGTAATGTTGTTTCTTGATCTGGGTGCTGGTTACATAGGTATGTTTTTTGTTTGTTTTTTTTAAAGATTTTATTTATTTATTTGACAGAGAAGGAGAGAGAGAGCACACAAGCAGAGGCAGAGGGAGAGGGAGAAGCAGACTCCCCACCGAGCAGAAAGCCCGATGCAGGACTTGATCCCAGGACCCTGGGATCATGACCTGAGCTGAAGGCAGACACTTAACAACTGAGCCACCCAGGCGCCCACATAGGTATGTTTTGTTTGTGAAATATTCATCCAGCTCTACCACTTATGATTTATGTACTTTTCTGTTTGTATAATTAAATAAATGTATCTCCAAGAAACTTTTGGAAGATAGAAGTTCAAAAGAATATTTACTGTACAATTGGCTTTACATGTAGTTCGAAAATAGGCAAAATGAAATGATAATGTTAAAAGTGAGACTGGTGGTTGCCTTTGGGGAGAGGGAAAAGGTAGTGGCTGGAAGGGGGTACAAGTAGGGTTTCTGAAATGCTAACAATGTTCTATTTCTTGAACCAAATAGTAATTCCACAAATATTTGCTTTGTTAAGACTTATTGAACTGTACATTTATCCTTTGTGCTTTCCTCTTTGTATGGTTCACTTCATGATTTTTTTAAAAGTTAAAAAAAAAATGGGAAGGAGGAAAATGATAGTAGTAGAAGACAGAGAAAGATGAGATTAGACGGAGGGAAGTAAAAGGTTTCTCTTTGCCTTTTCCTTTCCCACCTGGCATTGGTAGGTTCTAGCTGTCCTGTCCTCTATTCCATCCTTCAACAACCACGGGTCTTTCAGCACCTACTTGGGAGACAGCACCTTTGTTTAAACAGGCCCTTCCACATTCCCCTCATTGTTTAGATAAAGATAAAGATCCAATTGGGAATTGTTTTAGATGCTATAGGAAATCCTATCCTCTAGATTCTTACTCTCAGGGAACTAATATATAGTTGGCTACTCAACCCTTCTAGCCTGCACACTTTTCAAAAAATCACAGCCATCTTTTATGATACAGAACCCCTATCCATACCAGAAAATTCTTGAAAAGAAGCTCTCCTCAAGACATTTTAGTGACACTGATTTCACACTATATGACCAACCCTGGGCCAAGTTATTAGAGATGAATTTTACTAATCTAGGATGAAAAAAGCAACAACAAAAATAAAGTGCTCCTATTCAAAATGAACTAACGGATGAACTGAAGCACAAATCACACAGAAGGTTTTGTGTGGGAGACTCCAGAGCGGGTTAGCTCTTGTCAGTGCTGTCAAAGTCAACTTGCATGAGTCTTCTCTGGTCTAGCTTTATAACCCAGCTGTACTTCTTTCTTGTTATGTTTCATCCTTGCTGTTGCTACAGGGACTTGGGTGAGGGCCAGGAGGAGGGGGTGGCATTTGAATGGTTAGTGGTTTGAGGCCATATTCTGATTGGCTGATGGCTTACATGCCATTTTGAGGAATAAAAATCTCTGCTAGCTCTTGCAGCTTCTATTGCTCTAAACAACGGGATCTAGAGGCAGATTGTCTACTATTGGACCTATGCATCCTTAGGCAGGCAATTCACCAGGATTTTGGATGGATAATGTCTAGACTTAACAGTAACCTGGTCACACATAACCTTGGCAATGTTAGTGTTTCTTCCCCTCCCTATTACAGAATCATGTTCTCATTTTATCCTAAAGAAACCCATAGGTGTTCATATGTAATCCCAATTAACATGTAGCAAGGCCTTCCAACCATTCCCAATGGATCACAGTTTAGGAGAGCCTGGAACATGAGGGTGGTTGTATCCATTACAGTTCTTTGGATGTTATCCATAGCAACAGCTGAAACTTAAAAAATGTTATTGAAAAGATACTGTGGGAGTCACGCAATAGACAAGAAGGTCATTTAATTAGATGTAGGAGTAGGAAAAAGCCAAGGCAGGAGCTATTCTATCATCAAAGCTCTGGATGCTATAAGAAACAAAGTTCAACTTTTTTTTTTTTAACCTTTAGCCACTCGGTGCCTTTGCAGATATATGCGCTGGTAAGAGGAAGGCTCTAGAAGAAAGAGCCTCCAATGTTCCCCTCATCTTCTATAGCGAAAGGGCTGGGTACTCTGATCCAAATCCTGCATACAGTTTGGGGAAAATGTAACACTCCAAAATCAAACCAAAACAAAAAAGTCTGGATGCTGTTAGGAAGGCGGAGTGGATGTGGATAAGCAACAACAAGCATCCACTACCCTGGGCCACTGTTGTCAGGCAAATATGCGTAAGGACAGGAGCATAAAAAGGAGTTTAGCAGTATAGATCAAATGCAAAAAGAACATCACCAGAAAGATCTTGAGAGAGAACAAACACAAGCCCTCTGAGCAAGGGTAAAATTGGGAATGACTTTAAAACTGAATAATTAATGTATTAATTAGGATGCAGTCTAAGCTGCTTATATAACAATGAGACACTAAAGTATAGTGGCTTAAACAAAAGTTCATTTTTCACTCAAAGGACAGTTCAGAGGTAAGCAGCCCAAAGTTGCCATCTTCAATATAAAGCTTCCATTTCTGGGTTCAAAGTGGCTACTCTGGCTCCTGCCATCGAATCTGCACCTAGCCAGTAGGCAAGTAGATGGGTTAGGGAAGCATACCTTTTAAAGAGCATGCCTTTTAAGGTAAGGACCCAGA